CAAGTTGATTACTAGTGGATTATTGTGATGCTTTTATCATCTGTTCGGACTCTCATTTTGACGGCACCCATTCACTGCAGAGGATACATCCAAGTGTCGTAATGCTAAATTTCTCCAAATCTGTTCCAATAAGAAAACTCTACATCTTGGATGGCCTGAGGGTGAGTAAATGTTTAGCCAGTTTTCATTTTTAAGTGAACTATTCTTTTAATTCCTTGAACTATTTGCTGATTTGTGCCATTCAGCTTCCTAATGTCCCAGGCTTATGATGTCTGCAGCAAACATCAAAATCTGTATTTGAAGGCACCTTGCGTTTGTGATGGCTGATAGATGTGTCCATCTCCTCCTCTCCCATGTTGTCTATCTGTGAGGTGGGACTACACTGGATACGTTCCTCTTCCTGTCTTTGGAGTTTATCTGCCACCATCTGGATCGCCTCTGCCCACTCATCCCTTTGGAAACACACACAAAGCCATTTATTAAAACAAAAAAACACTTCTTCATACTTCAAGAATACACTTGAGACACACTAAACTAACACATGGTTCACTTATAAATGTAAACTGAAATGTGAATGTGCCCTTTTTACTTTGTTGAAGACACCAGGCCAGACCATCCGAGTAATTCACAAGGCCGTTCTCACTAGGTGACGGTATAATCTAATATGAGTGGGGAAGCCGCCCCTCTCTGCGAATAGTGTCTCCCTCCATTGAGTTTTCATTTGTCGTGCAGCACAACATCTGTTGTGAAGAATCAGTGGTGCATTCATGTTTTTGAGCACGTGTTAGTTTAATAATGATGGATTCATCTGAGCGAAGCTAGCAGTTTCTCACTATTTCACAGAAGCGGAGAGTAGGGCTATGTGGTATAGCACAGTACTACAAGTATACAGTGGTATATAATAATATCATAATTTATCAAATTTTGGTACCCGGCTTAAACAACATCTCCTAGCCTGCCCAGTCTAGCTATGCTGGTCTATTTTGATGGTTTGAGAAGAGTATTAGAGGAATTTGCAAGAATTGCAAGAATTCTGAATGAAAACTGATATGTACATATATACACACATACATCATGTTCAAAAGTTGATCAGTAAGATATTTAAGAATTCATACTTTTTATTCAGCAAGCATGCATTAAGTTTTAAAAAGTGATAATAATAATAAATGTTTCTTGAGCAGCAACTCAGCATATTAGAATGATTTCTGAAAGATCATGAGACACTGAAGACTGGAGTAATGGCTGCTGAATTTACTGTATTTGTGATAATTTAAATGCAGCCTTGGTGAGCATAACTACTTTAAAGACATGAAGAAATCATACCGACCCCAAATGTTTGAACAGCAATGTATGCTACTAGGTGGAATAAATAAAGTCATAACAAATGTGCTGAATGGTACATTGGTCATTGTGTGATTTGAACTATATTACTTGGTGGAACAATTATTTATTACAATTATTATTAATAATAAATCGTTTTTCTGTTGCAACTGCTTCTTACAGTGAAGTTCACGTGCATTACGTGTCATCCAAAATGAACTGAATGTTTTAAAGGGGTCCTATTATGCTTTTCACTTTTTGAATTTTAGTCAGTGTGTAGTGTGTATGTTTGGGCATAATAAAGATCTACAAAGTAACAAATCTCAAAGTCCACTCCAAAGGGAGATATTTAGTTTAAAAAAAAATCCCTTTTCAATAACTACAACGAACGGTTTGGACTACAGCGTTGTTTTCCGGGGTATTGTGATGTCACAAAGCGGTCCATTAGAATATCATTAAAATAATTCCCGCCTACGGAAATTCTAATGGTTGGGGGGTGGGGAGGGGCGAGGTCGTGGTTAGAACGCTTGGTTGAGTGCATCAGAGTTGCACCACATTCCAGAGTTAGTGCATCAGAGAAAACGAAGAAGAAGAAGAGCTGCTGTAGCGTCAAGTTTTCACCATGTCGAAGAAACGCGTTTTTTTTTTTCCATAAATTGCTGACAGTACAATACTGAACAATGATGTAATCTGCAGAATTTACACTTCAATTATGAGACTATGGTATAAATAAATTCAACTGTATAACAGTTTCACTGCAATTCATGTTATAATGTTAGAATTAAAGAACAATAAACATAATACATATTACCGTTGCACTTATCTGTACATAGTAAATGCACTTATGTTTAAGCGGTTGTTGACATCATATCTAAAACGTGATTTAGCCAAACAAAAACAACAATAACGTTACCACTCTAATATGTCTTGCAATATCCAAGCGTGCAAAGGTTCTGTATGATCCTCTTGTTCAATATTCTCGGGGTCTGAATCCGGCTCAAATTGATATGGCAATATTGACGCCATCCTTAACTATACCGGAGCAGACGGAACTTGCTGCTTTGGCAAGGGGCGGGGCAGTACTGAAACACCGTCTAAGCTGTTCGCCAATCACAACGCACTGGGACAACTGACCAATCACAACACATTTCTTTTTTCGGAAGGTGGGCCTTCCGAAACCAAAGCAAAAATGTTGGTATTGATCCAACCCTACCAGGCAGAGTTTGAAAACTTGCACTCTTGTGCATTGCCATTTGTTAGTGAAGAACCCTCAAAAAGAATAAGAGATGGAAATATTTATTATCTCCAACATAATGTATGGATTTCCATTCTGGCTCTTTTTTTCAGTGGAAGCTACAAACCCCATGGCGGATGTTACATTCCAAATGTGGTGCATTTGAAATCCCAAAGAAAATTCAAGATCCATTGGGTTAACACAGTAACATATACCAAGTGTCCTGCGCAACCTCTCAAGGTCGTGTGGATGAATGTGTGTGGAGTGGTTTGGTGTATAATGAGCGGTTTTTGCTAATGAGAGATACAGGCTTTGAATACAGTCTGGCATTATGCCAGCTGTCGCCACATCTCTCCTCCCTCACATGTAGGCTCGCAGTTTCTGGGCCTCTGCCAGTACGCCGTGTCCCACTCCTGTTCAGAGCTGTGTGTGTGTGTGTGTGGGGTAACCAAAGTGCGCATTGGACTGCAATGCCCTGTGATAGATAAACAAGCAAGTTAGGAGTACGAGGATAAACGGCTCAGTGTCTGTTCATATCTTTTGTGTGATTAGATGTTCTCTCAGTCTCTTTCAAACGCTGTTATATGGTCTGCTCAACCATTATTCGGTGACCCCAAAAAGATACGGACAACAATAATAGGAAAATATTTCTCAGATTCTTGGACAGGGGAGAAAACAAATCCTAGTTATCGGAGCTGAATGGTACAGTATCAAAATCAAAACAAAATAGGTTTACTTTTTGAAAAGAAAATCCTAAACCTCCTAAAAGTTAGTGTTTTTTGCACTTCAAATCAAGAAAAAATAGCATATTTGTCAGCCAACTGAATAATTGAAAACTAATGCAGATTATAAATAATATACAGTTCAACTTAAGTGGACACTGTCTGGCTGTCAAATTTTCTAAGGATTCTGGTTCTTCCATACATGCAAATAATGCATGTATGTGATGTTTTTCTGTCTTTCTGACAGTTCATTGTCACTTACATTCTTATGGGACATGCTTTGTTGTCTATAGATTTAAAAAGAACTGACATCTAAAAGAGGATCAGCTCATAATGTGAGCCAGTGTTTTGGTAAAACAACTTTTTGGGTTGTCTTTTCTCTCGCTGATGGGAAAATTAATATCTGTGTTTGCTAAAGGTGAGCATCACTATTACTATTGCTCATATGTAGGGTAAATTCACAAAATTAAATCATGTAGCTTGTTGAGGAAAGGTGTATACAGATACGGTCCAAAGAAAATCACAGAAACTTCAAATTGAAGAAAGGACTTAAGGCTCCAGAACCAGAATGGGGTCAGTAAACCATCAACCATTCACCCATTTATTTAAGCTTCACTACCTCTTCCGCAAGCACTTAACCACTCCACAACTTTAAACCAAAATGTGTACACACACAAACATGTTTACTTAGCTAACTTAACCATAACACACACAGCATTACAGAAAAGAGAAAATTTATTTATTTATTCTATTTACTATTTTTATACTATTTTTTTTTTTTTTACAAATGAGGAGTGCCCAAAAGAATGTTTTGTCAGGTTCAGCGCACTTCTTGGTACAAATTTGTCATAAAAATGTGGTTAAGTAGGTACACAAAACACATAAACACACACAAGTTCCTCTTCTTCTTTTCTGCATTTCACCTCTGCTTATTTTCCTAATCTAGCTTTTTAATAAACCTGGCATTGTGCACTGTGATATATCTGTGATGAATTGCTTAAAGCATCTGCTAAATATATAAATGTAATCACTACATTATCAGCAAAGCAATTACTAATGTATATATTGTTTTCTACTATGGTCATTATTAATGCTTTAAATTAAAATGAGTAAGTAGTAGTGTTTTTTGTCATTTTTGTATGAGGTGGTGGCCAAATAAACAGTTTTGTTTACTTGTAGCAACTATATAACATTAAAAAGGTTGCCAACTGTACATTGTTGTTGGAATGGGCATATAACGATGCTCTGAATAGTTGTGTTTTCTACATTAGAGACTCACCTCTCTTCTAGTGTGTCCACGTGGAAGGTCCTCTCTATGACTGTAGTCCACTGTAGACATCTAATAATAAAAGTGTTCGGCTTTGGTCGTTCAGTTTTCATCAGCTGGCATTCTGGAATGACAGACCAAAGGAAATAGTAGCCACATTAAATTTAATGTACACAATGAAAAAAAAAAAACAAAGAACGCAGACACAATATAAATATACAGGCAGGGAGAAATCTGACCTGAATACTAAAGTAAACCCAGCCCACTTTCTAACTCTCAGGCTGCAAGTGTTTGCCATTGTCAGAGTGTTTTATTTGATAAACAGAGTGGATCAGCGAGTCCAATGTAAAACAAATGGCCATTAGCAGAGAGGAGGCAGCGGGTGGGAGAGTGCCACGGTGAGATGAACGAGCGAGAGGTACATTTGCTGGAATGTGGTGCAACATTTCATATACAGCGCTTAGCTCTGCCACATCAGCCACTGGCCAGTCAGAGGGAAGTAATGCATTTCTCAGATACTTTATGAAAGTAGCAGGGGGCAGAGGTGACGTTCAAATGGGCTCATCGCCGCTGCAGATTTTGGGGACAATGCCCAGACGACAGGTGAAACGCAACAGCAGTCCCATAATGAGGGCCCTCAGTCGGCCAATTTCAGCCACCTCTGAATGACGGCAGGGCCTAAATTTAGACAGGAAGGTTAATGATGACACCGCTAAGGTCACGAAGCCATGCACTGAACAGAACATCTACCTGGGCAGTAGGGGGAAAATCGAGTCCCACGCTGAGTGCAGAAAAACAAGGTCACAGCAGCCAGAATGTGACACCTCAGGAGGAGAGGAGGCAGAGCTGACAGTATTGTTTGCTTTGCCACATTAGATCACAGATGACGAGCATTGCTTCAAGCAAGAGTCGCTAAGGAAAGCTAGCATGCCAATTAAACAGCCCAGAAGCTGTGACTTCCGCTGCTTGCAACATGCAACATCACTTAAAGGTTTACACAAGTCCAAATTAAGGTTGAGAGGGTGCCAATGCACAAAAACATCAGGAGACAAAACATGGCATTCAGCTCTGTAAATGTTAGCGAGAACTGGCTTTGAATGAAAAAGCTTAGAGGGTTAAAAAACAAAGTTTCCAAATATTTTTTTAAAAAATGTGTAAAGTACTTAGAAATGAACTCTTTGTATTCAAGTTGGTTTTCAAAAACTTTCATACCATTTTGAACAAAAGTTTCATATTTTCCTTACAGTTGAATACTACCGTTCAAAAGTTTGTGGTCAGTTTATTTTGAAAGAAGTCTTTTATGCTCACTAAGACAAAACACAGGATAAACAGTAATATTGTGATATATTGTTACAATTTAAAACACCTGTTTTCTATGTTAATACATTTTAAAATGTAATTTATTCTTGTGATGGAAAAGCTGAATTTTCAGCATCATTACTCCAGTCTTCAGTGTCACATGATCCTTCAGAAATCATTCTAAGATGCTGATTTGCTGCTTAAGAAATTATTCAGGATTCCTTGATGAATGGAAAGTAAAAAAAAAAAACTGAATTTATGTGAAATAGAAATCTTTATATATATATACATTTATATATGTCAGACTCTGTTCCATGTTTTGTGTGTGTCCTGCTCCCCATGTGCCTACCCATGCCCTTATTTGGTTAGTTTCCTGTTCCTGTCCTGATTAGTTTATTTCATTTGTCCCAGGTGTTTCCCTTGGTTTTATTGCTCCCAGGTGTGTCTCGTCATCCCCTCCTCCTGTGTGTGTGTATAAAATGTGTTCCCAGTCCCAAGTTCTCTGTCCGCTGTTGTACGTCTTCCTGTGTTCGTCTCCCTTGGTTCCTTGGTGCAAATAAAGTCTTGTCAACATATTCTCCAGCGTCTCCTCGTCCCTCGTGTGTGTGTGCAACGTGACAATATAAACATATGTCATTTACATATACATTTTTTTTTTTTTAATCCAGCTGTACTTATAAGGCAGCGGTGGTGAAAGATCTAAACGGAACAAATTGGTGGATCTCACCGCGCAAAGCGTTTTGTCATATGCTGCAATCATTGTTAAAAAAGACAAATTGGTCAATATGGACTGTGGTATACTAGGGAGCAGATGCAGGGCTGGTCAGGCTGTGTACAGGAGCGGTCCGGAGGAAGGCAGTCTGGTGGCAGCTCGTTGCACAGGGGGTGAGAGCGATGCCATTTCAGAGAGAGCATTAGGCTATCAGCCTCCCAGCACCACCTGGCCTCCCAGCTTTCTGCAACAGATGTGGCAATCCTCTTCCACTGCCAAGCGGCCCAGGCCGGATGTATGGCCACCCCTCACTCCTCCAGCCTTTAGATTAAAACCTGGCTGGGCCTTTTGACGGATGGAGGGTTGGGGAGCTGCTCGCAGCACGTGTCCAGAAACCAGCGCTAAAAGCCACGCGCTTGAGGTTGAGTTGTGTTCCAGAGGAAATAAGTCACTGCTTTTGATGATTTTATTCCACTAAAATCATTTTAAAAACTCAGATAAGAAGAATGAGGTGAAACTGAATTTAGGCTAAATTAATCACATTTTTGCACATCTGGAAGGATTTCGGCAATAGAAAAGAGTGGCTGAAGTTTATTTTCAGTGTTTCTTGATCATTTCAGATTTGCCTTAACAGTTTGAGTGGTACATTTCTGAACTTGTTTTGTGAGCCTTTAAAAATGTACCACAAATTATGCATCATAACAAAGGTTATTTTACATGTTCGTAATTTAAAGGGACATTACGTTTTATTCTAATGGGCAGAGAGAAATTAAAATAACGACTAGCATTATAAAATTCGAGTTCATGAAAAATATAAAATGTGAAATTATCCCTACAGTAGACAATTCAAAATCACATAGTGCTAATTTGTGCTAGCAATGTTAGCTGTTAAATTAGCATATGGACATTATTTTGGATTCAATACAGATCATTGAATCCACTCTTGAGTTAATTCACGGAGACTGAGCTCACAAAAGAAAAAAAAGGATGTACAAAACTTTACTGGTCTTGCTTTGAAGGCATCACTTACTTGCAACAGAGAAGTTATTGAGAGGGTAGGGAAGATCTGCATCCTGTGGCTTCTCCTTGTATCCGATAAAGGACCCATCGGTTTTTAGCAGGAAGTAGCGAGGTCTCCAATTCTTAATATATTCACCTGGGGAAAAGAAGAAATCTATATTTAAATGGCAAAGTAATAAAACACATGACCTCAAACTGCTTGTGCAAATACATGCACACTAAAAACTCAACCTCCCATTCACACCTTTTTCTTTTACATAGAACTACGGGAAAACAAATTACCCGTTTTCATTAAAAACCCTCATTGTTTCGTGGGTGCATGCATCAAATTCACAAGATTAATATCCCAAACACAGAATGAACACGATTAGATGGTGCTCATCTGTTGAATTGACTTAATTTTGACTTTGCAAATGACTAAACACAGGATTAAAATGTTAACATGTTTACCACTGCTAGTCCAGCTGTCAGCTACTGCATCATCTGCCTAAACCCGAGGGCAGGTGTTAGAACAACACAAACCAGGGCTGGTGACACCAAGTCGGCTTACAGTAAAATGCGTGCGGAAACGCACCACAGAGGAGGTCAGAGAATCCTCACAAGGGGCAGCAGAGACACCTTTAACCTTTCTATGCTAAAGTCGCAAAAAACAACATCTGCTGAGCAGCTGGTCATGCCATATTATCATGCAAAACTTCTGGTGCAACAGCCTGTGCCATCTAATAGTAAACAGCAGGATTACAAGGGTGTCAGCATCACCACACAGGGGGCAAAGCCGCATGCACACAGAGTCTAGTAACAGGCTTCAAGAGTGATAATGCATACAACATCTGCCGGCTGAGTGATGCATGCTGGATGCTGAAACCAAACTCACTTGTTCATTTGCAATTTTGTACAGTGAACAATGAAAAGTTTGATTTTGCGTTTTCTGAATACGAATACATTGCATTTTGTCTGTTGCTGGTCAATCACAACATGTGGTAAACACAAGGGAAACAAGGAAATTTCATAGCATGTAGTGAATTTATACCTCAAGATGAGAAGATGATCGTTTTGTTCCTTGTGTCATCCAAAACTATCACTACAAAAGCAGGCCAACATGTATGCTTTATTTCAAGCATTCTGAAGCCATACAATAACTTTGTGCGAGGTGCAAAGTTTAAGTTGTTCATTAAAAAGCAGAGTAAATGAGAAAAGAGAGAAAAAAGGCAAAAAGCTAATTAAAAAATCTTTTAAAAGTTTGTAAAAATAAATTGAGGGATATCAAAACAAAACACAAACATATCCTTTTTTTTGTCATTGTTTAAGCCATAACGCTACACAATCATTCAATAAAATATGCTCAATCTAACCTCAGGATTCAACTGTTTAAATCATATTTATTAAGATATGATTTATACCAATCTGGTATTCGTTCAAGAGCAGACGCAGGAGAATCCACAGTCATGTACTTTCTGATTCTAAACACCTGGTAATTAGCCACGATCTTTTCTAAGTGACACATGAGCCTCGTGACAGCTCTGATCACTTTTTTTCAGTAGAAGAGAAAATAAACAACATGTTCTATTTGTAACATCCACTTAAAGCATAATGACACCAGCTTCTCCTAATTAACACATCAGAGAAAAACACCTGCTCATGTTAATTTGAGGAGACGGAGGTCTTCGCCGGTATGCCTCAATGAGGAAGAGGAATCGCTGGGTAGGAGGGAACAGCTGAACAGAGGCATCCACCTTCCAATCAAAAGGTGCAAAAAAGAAAGGAAAAGGGTAGAAGGATAAAAGTGGGCTGTGAGTCGACACATGGATAAATTTATGCATGATCGCTATGACGACCGTCTATCATTGACCAAGGTATTTTCTCTACAGATAAAACTTTAGTAAGAGGGCTTGTTGATTTTTCAAAGCAGCTTTATTTCTATGACTTATAAAAAACTGGCCAGGCATGCTGTGGTGCTCAAATGGCAAATGTAGAATCAACTGTCAATTTCCCTGATTCAATTTCCCCTCTCAACTGTCTCTAATTTTCTTTTTCTGACACTATAATAATATAAAATTAAAATAACAATAATATAATATAATACAGGGGTTCTCTTTTTTTTTCACACACAACATTATTCTTGTTATTGGTGGATCAGTTATGGACAAACGCAAAGTAAAGAGTTTAATCAACGATCTGATCCTGGATCTGCCATGATGTCTTGTTAGCCAGCGTGCAGTACATTCACTGTGCGGCTGACAGAGCCAGGGGTTGAACAGAAGGGGCTGCGTGACTAAAAGCAAATGTCGCTCGAACCCAGCCAGTGCTGTTTCATCAAACCATTTTTACTGGCTTCTCAATCGTGAAATTTGTTTCTTTAGATCCAAAACAGTAGACGGACAGTTGGTCTGGCAGGCGCCAGTGATGCTTCTATCATTGGTCAAAGTGAACAGTCGTATTGGTTAGCATTATTACCAAGCACCAGGGTGATGAACACCTTTAGATGTGGAGTTCAGATTGGCGATTCTTACGCCTAAGAAATTGCACAGCGATACGAATTTTCTGACTAACAAGCTTGCAGGTAATACCTGAGCAATCGCCAGCAAATATGCAACAGGACATCCAAAGTCCCTATCACCCCATTCCAATTAAGTTCTGAGATCCAAACAGCTCCAATTGAACAATTAAAATATCATACCGGGTGCCATTCAATTACAAGCCCAGATTAATTGTTCATTTGTCTGTGGTCTGTGACAGCCTGATGGCTGTGGGACG